TCCAATTATTTACAAAGAGCAGTTTCTGCTCAGTGCACCATGACAATAACCATTCATTTAGCACGAATAATCTACTGAACTTTTCATGCCCTTGTCAGTACATAGGAAGCAGTCCAGACACTATAATCGATGTTTAAGGCGATGTGCTGTGTACCGTGTCGATAAGGCCCCTGAAGTCTTTCTTCAGGACCTCCGTCTGTCGGAACCTAGTGTCGTTAGCTCCCGCGTGCAGCACAACAGCTCCGACGCGCTTTTCACCGTTCAAAATCTCAGTTACCCGCGCAGTGATATCGAGAACACGAGCACCAGGAAAGCAATGACTGTGTACCTTACATTTGCCTAACGTAGCGTGGACGTGTCGGACGGTGGAATCGCCAATGATCACCGCATCACGTTCCATTTCACGAAGAGGGGAGAAGCGGTTCTGGGTGGAGGTCTCGAAAACCGTGAGGAGCGAAAGGATTCTTGTCCTGGCTCGCGGCTTCCGCGGAACCACCCAGGCTTTGTGGTGGTGTGTTGGAGCCGGAGTGAATGAAACCATGGCTGATCGTGAGCTGGATGCTCGGGACCAATGCTGAGTAGACGTGGTCAGCGTCAGCGGGTTACTAACGTTAATCACTAATCCGTATGCATTAGCGCGTGATGTTTCAAGAGCTACAGCACGGGATGTTGCAAGAGCTACAACGTGTGATGTTTCAAGAGCTAAACGCCAGTCTCTCAGCTCAGCTTGTTTCTTTATAAGGTCACAGATCTGCTTTTCTACAACCTCTAATTCAGACTGCACCGCAAGCAAAGCAGATTTGTTCTCATCTGCACCAAAAGGTAAATAACATACATCTTATATATTCGCCATTTTAAAAGATGGGCAGTAAGTTAGCAATGATGCACCCAATGATGCTACACTCTAAAAAATGCTGGGTTGTTTTAACCCAACTTTGGGTCAAATATGGACTAACCCAGCCGTTGGGTTAAATTTTTACATTACATTTTTAACCCAACATTTCGGGTTTGTCCATATTTGACCCAAAATTGGGTTAAAACAACCCAGCATTTTTTAGAGTGTATTAGTATTATACTAATTTATGACTTAAGACTTGGGTATAATCCATCTTTTTAGTGGTACGGGTCTAATGTAGACGCACAACGCATGTATGGGAAAATGTTCGATTCGATTGTAAGTGAGTGTAAAGAACGCGTTTGGCAATCGATCGCAGGGCGAGCAGAGGTAAAGCAGTGTCTCGCTCTACATCCAACAACCAAACGTCCCAACCGCGTCTGTAAAGAACGCGTTTGGCAATCGATCGCAGGGCGAGCAGCAGTGAAGCAGTGTCTCGTTCCACAACCAACAGCCAAACGTTCCAACCGTATTTGCGGTTCCAGCCGTATAATGGCTTGAGACGCGTCTGGCCAACAGTCCAGGTTGTAATTATGAGTTAAATGATGGTTCAGATTAGAATAAAAGAAAGAAATACGGAAAACAGAAGGAAATACGAAGCTAATACGAGGCTTAGACAGCCACGACGCAACAGCAGGCAGCAAGGCAGACAAAAGAAATCGAGCAGCAATCGAGGAAACTTTGTAATTAAAAAAAATTGTCGCTACTTGTACCTAATGATTAACATGTTTAAAGAATACATTTCGCAGCAATGTATTATACTAGTGTAGTAATCCAATTTTCAAAAGTAACAAGTTTCCCTACACTGCACAAATGCAAACTCTTACTCACATTCTGACCACATCACCTTGAAGAACTCGTACAGCTCATCAATTTCACTTTTGCTTCTTATCTCTGTCACACTCCACAGATACCTAATGTTAGCAAACATAATCATTAAGGCCATTTAGAGCAATCATCCAAATCTGCTGTCCTGCCCACTCTGTCTTTAGGTGTCAGTAGTGATAAATGCTCTTGGAGGAGTTTGACACTGAGGGCTCATGGCACAATTGACAGAAGTAGGTAAGATTGAAAGTGTTTGCTGGTTTATCAATGAGGTGCCCTGCACTATTGATCAGTCAGTCGTACCAGGATGTTGCGCCCTGTCCATCACCGGTATCAGTGGAGCTACAGTGATTACGCCATGGACATTGTTTCATGCTTACTGTTTATCACTTGAGCAGATCAGTCAGTTTCTACCTGCTGAGCCATGAGCTTTTTTTTTTTTCCATTTGCTTGTATACACACTTCTTTACTTTTAGAACATTGAAGTTTGCTCTTCCAATAACTGAATTCCTTTGGTGTCACTAACCACTCTGTGGGCCTCATTCATGAAACATCTTTGTGAACATTCATAATACCTTTCCTATATAAATTGACACAATCAATATAGAAAGTGTTTGTCCATCCATAAATTGTTTGTAAAACCAGTATTAAAGGGATAGTTCACTTTGAAATTAATTTTTGGTATGTTTTAGCTTGCCTCAAGGGCATCCAAGATGTACAGTAGGTTTCTTTGTTTCCACAGTATTTTCAATTTTGATATTTTTAGGTCAAACCATTCTTGTCTGTCAGTCATACAATGGTGGTCTATGGGGTCTCCCTCAAAGAACATGCACAGAGAAGTCCAAATTAAACATGATTTATTGACTCGTAAATGTAAGTACACATTTATGGCCTAAGACACGAAACGAGCGGTTTGTGTGAGAAAACGAACAGTATTTATATCGTTTTTACCTCTTGTAATCACAGTCACGTCCAAGTGATCTGAGGGAGAGGGTGCTTCGGTCTGCAAAAGTGCGCCGGCGAGTGCTGGACAGCCCGGAAGTGATCTCTCACGCGTGTACGTCACTCATTGTTTACACAGAGATTTCCGAAGTTTTACCTTTCACTGTGAAGATCTAAATATCGAAATCGTCTTCCGTTGCGATTTCCTGTATATCTTAATATGTTTTGATCTTCACAGTGAAAGGTAAAACTTCCGAAATCTCTGTGTAAATAATGAGTGACGTACACGTGCGAGAGATCACTTCCTGGGCCTTACGGCGCAGACAGAAGCACCGCTCCCTATAAGTATTATGGATCTTGGATGCCCTTGATGTAAGCTAAAACCAGGGTTCTCAAGTTTGAGCAAAAGCTTGGCGTGAGATCACACGCGGTTAGGGGAGGAGCCATAATGAAGCCCCGCCCCACCCATCCCCGCCCCCAATTTTACCCATTGTTCATAATTAACCAGAACAAATTAAAATTATAACAATTAGTAAATCTGATAAATGACAGAGCAATTCATCACATCAAATACTCTTTAATGCAGTATTACAAATATAGCTAACCAAAAATATAACAAATTGCTCCAAACAGTTTCAAACAAATCTTTAAAAATTGCATTTTGATTTTTGAATGCGTCTTCTATCTAGACGAATGATTTATTGTGTGGTGGGACATTGAGAACAAATGGACAGATTAGAGTGCACCACCTCTTCCACTGTCTCCTCCTCTAATCTGGCAACCTTTTTAGGGGGCTTACCCTTTGGTGCCCAAAATGACAAAATATCTTTCTGCTTTTTTCCTGACATCTTTGAAAAATACAAATGCAACATTATGACAATGATTAAATATTACCCAGAGCAATCTGCTGTAATACATCCTTAATGTAACTAGAAAGACTATTAATATTACAGTATAATATAATTTAAAATAAAATCAGTAAATCTTCATTCCTTTCCATACCCACTAACATTTCTCTTAGTTTCAGATAACGTAAGATAGCCAAACTGAGTTTTTGACTGCATCAATAATAATGTACGATGGGCTACATATTAAATGTTCTAGCCAAAAATGTTAGACGAGCTTCTTCCAACTTACCTTCTTCTCGATCACGACACGTGTTCGCGCGATGTTGTTGGTTACCTAGTAACGAACGTACGTTGGCCGAGGATGTTCCGTCCGTTTCCGTGTGTTCGCACTACTAAATGACATGTCATGTATAGATCAGTGGTGCACGCAGCGCGCATATATGTTGCCTAGTAACGAACGCAATCTGGCGGAGATACGCGCTGGCAGCAGGAAACTTCACTTTGTTTGCCTGCGCCTCGTATACAACGTTAAAAAGCTTTCAGCCAGGACAACTTGGTTGGCATTGCCTTTTCAGCGTGAGAAATACACAGTGTGGCGTGTGAGCCGGTCGAAATGCGTGTCTCACGGCCAATGCGTGAGACTTGAGAACCCTGGCTAAAACATATAAAAAATTAATTTCAAAATGAACTTTCCCTTTAAGTAATGTTTGTACAAAAAAAAAATACACTGAATCTTTTTTTTCTTTTTATATATGATACTGAGCTGCTGCATTATATATATATATATATATATATTACACATTTTATTTCATTTTTATCTTAGAAATGTTGAAGTTCACTATTTTATGACAAACTATTTCTTGCAGTAATATCTCCTCATTAGCTATTTTTTTATATCCAAAGTTAAACCCTCACTAAACCCTCAAACACAAATCTATGATGAAACTAGATAACTGTCACGAACATCTCTGAGGCAAAAAGTTTGAGGATTCAAATGTAGTATTAGTAATCGAAAAATGTCATCCAAAGTACAGGCAAGGTCAAACACAGGCAAGCAGTCCATTCAAACAAACACAACAAGGCAGGGAACACAGGCAAAAGAGTAATCCACGGAACAGGCAAGAAATCCAAATCCAAGAGCCACAAAACCAGATAGAATGCTTGGAATTGCAGTGTGACACTAAAGGAGACTTTGCAAATAATGAATGAGAAAACCAGACTTATATAGGGTGAGTTAAACAAGATACAGAGACACAATGGATGAAGAGTCTGGGCAGTGAGTTATGGGAGATGTAGTTTGTGAGGGAATGACAATAGTCATATGTGGAGTGCCCTCTGGTGGCTCTCAAGGGCCCTCCAGCTGGTGACCGTCAAAATAACAAACAGCAGAACCTTTTAATTTTGCAATTAAAAGTGCTGATAAGGACACATAACACAGACCTATGAACACATCACTAAAACATTCATTACACTGTCTACCATCTCTACAGATGGGTACACCACAGATGACATCGTGTTCTTCTGGCAAGGAGGGGACAATGCTGTAACAGGTGTCGACAAACTGGAATTGCCTCAGTTCTCCATTGTGGAGCTACGTCTTGTGTCCAGGGAAGTGAGGTTTACCACAGGTATGGATGATTCACTTATGTGCAAAACAGCTCATGACACTTTCAAAGTCTGTCTTTTACCTGTGAATTTAACCCATTGCTAGTGTCATTTCTTTGGCAAACATGATTTGTCACGTTATGATACCATGTGCAACATCTTTGTTGATTCCGGAACAACATTCCAATCAATCAATCAGTGTTATTCACCTATCCTTTCCCTTTGATTTTAGAAATAACTTATGAGTTGGGTTAGGTTTAGGGATAGGGATAGGGCTAAGACAAAAAATTCGAATAGGAATGTTGTTCCAATGTTGTTAACAAAATATGTTGATCCAGGAACATGTCTGTCTCGGTTAGTTACCGTCATGCTATATTTCAAATTATGAAAATGATATGAAATTCAATAAGGTTAATGATCTGTGTTAGCAGTTGTTGTTTCAATAGCTGTTCACACTGAGATTTCTTTTGTCTCCTGTGAGCCTCCTATGTTAACAGAGCTTTGAGATTGAATGCTGGAAAATTTGTGGCTGTGTTCGAAATGGCCCCCTATACAGTACCCTCAATCACTATTCCCTAAATTAGTTCACTAATATAGTCCACTTGTGTGAGTGACTGAAAACGAGTGAATGCATTTGGACACTGCGTGCGCCAGAAGGGCTACAGCTTAATGAAGTTTAATAATCATTTGAAACTTAGAAAAACTGGCAGCTCCAGTAGTAATGGAAAGATGTATCTTGAACTCTGTCATGGAAACTAGCATGTAAACCTTAATTAAACAGTTAAAATACATTCATACCAGTATGATATTATGCTTTAGCCACATTGAATATTTTCGAATCTGGAGCGCGTCTCATAAATAGGTTATAACGATATATTGAAACTCAGCGTACAAGTACAGTATAGCCTACTCCACAGACCTGAAACTATATCTATATTTAAATGTCAACTTGTAAACAGAACAATTCAAAATAAAACTAAACAGATTGCTCTCTGCTTATGAAAGCAAATGTGCATTCTCTGGCGCATTCACAAGCCTACTGCGAAGATTGCGAGTCAGCATCGTCACCTTTATCTTAATTAATAAACAATTAATAAATAATTAAAATCTATCCTCCTTGCTATATTTGGCTTATTCATAATCATTGCTTTTGCTGGTTCTTTGTGACAGCTTTTAGAAGCTTTAATTATCGGCTTTAATTATCGCCGCCGCTACCCTAGGCTTACATGTTACAAGCGTCACTCACCACCGCATCAAAAACATGATTGCGTGATAAAAACATGAAAAATACCACCTGAACACAGCCTAACTGTTTAGAAAGAAAACACAGAACGAGTAGCCTAATGTGCATACGTCCATCTCGCGAATGTAGACTTCTCATGCCATATTCACCTATTAGCCAGTGTGGTGAAGAGATGAGTCCCCCTGAAGAGATGGGTACAACCGTAGGACCCCATAGTATGCCAGTAGTACGCCTAATCTAAATATGTTCTCACGATAACTTGATAAAAGCAGTTTGTTGCCATCAAGTAATATGCTTATTTGTTTAGCACTTTTCAAGTAATACGTTTATTTGTTTAGCGCTTTTCATTGTAGGTTGCGTCAACAGCAGAGGAGAAAGTCCGCGAAATTTAAAAATATTACTGTTATTGTGTCATGAAATGTAATTTTAAGAGTTTTTAAGTCGAGAATATAGTTGTCTAAAGCTCAAATCTGTGGTTTACTTATAAAGATTGCGCCTTTTTAAAACATTGTTCTGACGTTTTCGGAGTTGTCAGAACCAGGGATCAGCAGCACATCTAACTAGCCCGCCTGGAACAGCCTTAACTCGGGTAGTCATTCTGACGTTTGCCGCGGGTAAATGCTATGCTACTATGTAAGCTAACTAAAAAACAATAAGAACGAGAAATGTTTACATTTACAATCTACAGCTTCGGTTATATACTAGTATATGAAACATACAAGTTAAAATACATTAATGCCTCCTTATAACGTACTTCAAACGTCTCTTATAATAAACTGATTTTCTCTAATTTGTAACCAGGCACTAAAGCGTTTACCCATAAAACTAGCTTTGAACCAATCGGATCGCTTGGGTCCTAAGGTGGGGCTCATCTCTTCAGGGGGACTCATCTCTTCACCACACCGGCCAGCTCGAGCAGAGGCTGAAATTATGACTCACTGCTCCTGTAAAAATAAAACTCTATAGAAATATATCATGACATGCATACAAAAAATATATTTATGGTGGCTTCACCTAAAAAAAAAAAAAAATGGCCCGGGCCTATATGCATGTGCATACCCTGCATGCCCAGACGCTACGCCACTGACGAGCGTTATTGGTGGGAAATCTGCGTGCATATGGTGATGCAAAAGTGTGTGGAATTCAATGTAGTATGCACTCCAGGCAACTAGGTGGCAATGTGAAGCACTGCCACAAAACACAACACCAAGTCCACGCACCTGCGTACAACCTTCCCTATCAAGCAGACTTTTGCGTTTTTACCCTTTACACTGGAACTCGGCGGTGGAGCGTTTTTGAGATTTCCACTCTGGAGGGTGGTTTCACTTTTTTGCGTTTTTAAGCCCCCCAAAAAACGTCGCCATGTAAACGAAAGGCACATCCGATAAAATATTTTTACGTTTTCACCCGGAATTGTTCTCGTGTAAACAGGCCCCTAGTTTACCTGTCTGGTTAATTAGTCATTATTTTCACCTGTCGCTTCATCAATTATCTCATTTGTTCCCTTTGTTAGCTCTATGTATTTAAACCCTGTGTTCTCCCTTGTTTGTCAATATTAAGTTGTTTTTGTGTTAGTTTCCTGTTTGATTTTCAGAGTTTTGTAATTAAAGACATTAATACTTAATCTCCTTCGTCTTTGCGCGTGTACTAGTGATATTTAGTGACATTATAGTTCTAGCTCTATGTAAGCCAAAAACCGTGATAAACAATGTATAATTACATTTTTTGGTTGTTAAGGCGTGATTCATTTCAATGAATCGTTGCATCAAGTATAGTTCACACAAAGTGACGTATCATTATATTGGGTTAAGGAACGGTCACATTTACCACTGCATGGCAAAATTTCACGAACAAAATCAGTCATTTTAAAAGAAATCTCTACGATGGTAAGTTTGGTCTAAGGGAGAAGGATTTTGCTCAAATTCCAGTTGGTCACATGATATCTGTGTGAGCTGTTATTTAGACATCTCTCTGCTATTAACAATAAACATTGGATCTTTTTTGTCTGTGACGTTTTGTGACCGCACCTTTACAAAACGAATTGTTGTAAAATACAGTAGTTCTGAAAACAATCGAACAGGGGCTAAATTGTAGATGAGTTTTGTTACTTTACAGCCCATTCTCACCCCCAAGGCGTCACTTAACTGGACATTTGGACATGCTTCAATATCTGACGCTTTAGGCGCCCTTTAGCGTCAGTTAGATGACGCCCTAGGATCGCGTGTACCCTACCCCCACCCCACACCTAAACCTAACCGCGTCCTCTAACTGATGCTTTCCTTTAGCGTCAGTTAGATGACGCCGTAGGATCGCGTCATGTAAGTGACGCTAAAGGGCGCCTAAAACGTCAAATATTGAAGCATGGTCAAAGGTGACGCCTTGGGGTGAGAATGCGTTGTACTTTAATGTTGCACGCCACATTGGGTTAATACCAGCACTAAATCCATGGCCTGGGCAAAAATGCAGTGAATAAGTTATACTAAAGATTTAAGTATATCACAATGCATTGCAAAGCTTCTATAATTTTAAGTGCATTTGCCCTTGTGGGCCCTCGTTTATTTCACGGAGAGATCCATGGTGAGGTGTCCGAACAAGTGTGAATAAAAGTGCTATCGTTGATTCATCCGTTTTTTGCAAGATTGGTGTCGGGCGTCACTCATATTCAAATGCTATTTAAGTTACAGCCGGCTGTTATTTCCCTTTCTCTTTGATACAATTGCACCTGAAAGGCTTCCAAAGGAATTTGTTCCATTGCATCTTTATCTGAAAATGTTATCTGAACTATATTTTATTCTTTTTATATATATTGTATTTTCTTTTTAAACGGGCACAAACAGGCTAATCTTGGAAAGGAGTTTTGAAACATGCTGCTAACAGTTTTCCTAAACCGCTCACCAAATTTTACACATTTACAGGACAAGCTCTTCAGTTACATATTATCCCCCCCCCCCCTTTTTTTCTCAAATTTCCTGTATTACTGGGCTAAATGGAAAAAAGAGACACTGCAGGTTTTGTGACAATTCTCAAAGGGATGTTGACGTTGCCTGCTGAGAAAGGGGGTTTCAGAAAAATCTGCCATGTTTGCGACTTTCTGCCATGTTTAATTGGAATGGAACTAGTCCCTGGGAAGGAATCCATTGCTTTGGGGAAATTAAATGCTCCATCTGAACAAATGGGAAAATGACTATCTGTTGTCAAAGTGCAGACTTTGACAATTGCAAATTGTAGATCTATTTTTCCTGTGCTTGCTCTTTTGTGTTCCCGCTTACATGTTGACATCTCTTTTTTCGGCTTCTGCTATGTACTTGTGTCTCCCCAGGTTCATACCCTCGGCTGTCGTTGAGTTTCCGCATCAAAAGAAACATAGGCTATTTTATCCTGCAGACTTACATGCCCTCCATCCTGATCACAATCTTGTCCTGGGTCTCCTTCTGGATTAACTATGATGCCTCTGCTGCTCGTGTGGCCCTGGGTAACCTTCAGATTTTGTTTAAAAAGCATCGTGTTTTTACAGGATGGGAATCCCATGGAATGTTTCTTTTCTTTATAAAACCATATCAATCATTTAGAATTTCGTTTACTCCAAATATACTTATATACATGTCCTGTCGACCATGATTAAAGAAAATACCCTTTCATATGGGTTCCCTAATGCAATAAACTTGAGCAAAGCTTTAAGCTTGCTTTAAGCTTCTGATGCTCAAAGTTCAACTTTGTCTCCATTTCCCAAAAAATTACATTAGTGCCATTGTATGGGTAATGCAGGTAAAGAATTTAAAACACGATGGATAGACTGATCTTATACACTCACCTAAAGGAGTATTAGGAACACCATACTAATACTGTGTTTGACCCCCTTTCACCGTCAGAACTGCCTTAATTCTATGTGGCATTAATTCAACAAGGTGCTGAAAGCATTCTTTAGAAATGTTCGCTCATATTGCTAGGATAGCATCTTGCAGTTGATGGAGATTTGTGGCACGCACATCCAGGACACAATCCCAGTAACTGAGCAAATTGTGAAATACTCAGACTGGCCCGTCTGGCACCAACAACCATGCCACGCTCAAAGTAGTGTAAATCACCTTTCTTTCCCATTCTGACATTCAGTTTGGCGTTCAGGAGATTGTCTTGACCAGGATCACACCCCTAAATGCATTGAAGCAACTGGCATGTGATTGGTTGATTAGATAATTGCATTAATGAGAAATTGAACAGGTGTTCCTAATAATCCTTAAGGTGAGTGTATGTATGCAGATCGAGTATTTCTAAAATGAGAGAACTGTCATTTTGCAGTCCTATTCATTACACTGACAATTGCTTAGCTGGCAAATAACTCGCAAATAACCTAAAAAGGTTAAACAAACAAACAAAAAACATAAACCATAATTTAATAATTACCGTATTATATATTAATAATATATTAATAATAATTAAATGAGTAGTTCACTTTAAAAACAAATAAACTTTTGCTGATAATTTACTCACCCCTATGTAATCCAAGATGTCCATGTCTTTTTCTTTCTTCAGTCGAAAAGAAATTAAGGTTTTTGATGAAAACTTTCCAGGATTTTTCTCCATATAATGCACTTTACCGGAAGCCAAACGGTTCAAGGTCCAAAAGACTGTTTCAGTTCAAACCGTTCAAAGGGCTTTAAACGATTCCAGACAATGAATAAGGGTCTTACAAGCAAAACGATCGCTTATTTAAAAAAAAATCAAATGGTCGCCATGCTGTGTTCTGTGATACACGTTTGTGACTCGTTCATCAAAATGAACGAATCTTTTTCCGAGTCAATTCGTTCATTTCGTTCGTTGAATGAACCAATTGACACGAAAAAAGATTCGACTGAAGAAAGAAAGACATGGACATCTTGAATGACATGGGGTTGAGTAAATTATCAGCAAACGTTTTTTTGAATTGGACCCTAATCTAAAGTGTGACCAAATAAAATAGGGGCATGATGTCCATGGTCCATTAAAGTCCTGTCGCAAGTGATGTGAACGTGACACTGTTTATTCAAATGACTAACATGCTTTCTTATAGGTGTAACTACGGTGCTCACTATGACAACCATCAACACCCATCTGAGGGAGACCCTCCCAAAGATCCCCTATGTGAAAGCCATCGATGTCTACCTCATGGGCTGCTTTGTCTTTGTTTTCCTGGCCCTGCTCGAATATGCCTTTGTAAACTATGTGTTCTTTGGACGGGGACCCCAGCAGCAGAAAAAGATCAACGAAAAGCTGAACAAAGCCAACAACGAGCGTCCCCGCTATGAGGAGAAGCGTCTAAGGGAACAGGTATGCAGGATCTCTTGTAAACCATTTCTAACAGTTGCACAATTCATTTTTGTTCTAATTAAAACCTAATTGAATTGAATTGAATAAGCGTTGACAATGTTCATGCATGTCTAAATCGATACGGATTCACTTAGTTTGTAAGCAGAACAACTATTGCCTGAATGAATCGCTTCACATCACCGCTAAAAACAAACATTCAATAGCCCATTAACCATCACTTTACTTAATCACAAAACGTGACGTATTTCATTTGATTGAAGTTGCATTTCATTATTAAGAGAGGTTCCTCTTGCTTGGAAAGTTACAATGACATTGTCATTATGTTATCAGATTCTAGTTTGCTTTATTGCCACAGACTTCTCTTTCAATCAAAGTACCGTGATGTTAGATAGACTGTTTAATTTTTCCCTCCTCAAAATGTGTCAGCCTTTTTCATACTTAACAACTGTGTTCTAAACTCAGTTACTAAAATAGTTTTACTGAATTAAGCCATTTGTGTCTGTGTCTTTCTTTTTCACCCCCTTATATGTATGCCCTTTTGCATTCTTCGAAAAATTGTTGCTTTATTGCCAGAGTTTATATGGGCGTTTTAACGTTCTCTTCATTTTTTTTTTCTTCCACATTGCAAGGACTCCATTTCAGCGCCGTTTCAAAGCAACACCCTCAGGTCATATACACAACGAAGAAATCTGTATCTCGAGGAACAAAGAAAAGTCGGGGTACATGCATTTAGATATCATATGAAACAGTGGAAATTTAGAATGAAAAGTTGATGAAATATTGTCATTAACTTCTCTGTGTGTGTGTGTGTGTGTCCGTGTGTCAGCCATCGCATTTTGAATGACGTCTTCCCAAGTGAAGTTTGTTATAACTGTCACATCACATCATCATCGCATCCGCATGCAAGTTTGAATGGAAGTGAATGCTATTTGAGACAGTTTAGGGCTATCCGCTTCCTGTGGCTGCTCATGACCACCCCTCTCTGTCTTTTATTGCCTCAAGGTGGATGCTTACGGAAACATTCTTCTCACCACTTTAGAGATGAACAATGAAGTGATGCCATCCGACGTAGGCAGCAGCGTCAGTGACTCACGGAACTCTGTCATGTCCTTTGACAGCTCCGGAGTGCAGTTCCGCAAGCCCATGGCTTCACGGGACGGGTTCAGCCACCACTCGTTGGACCGCAGCGCCATGCGCAGTCGTGCCAACTGCCGGCTAAGGAGGCGCTCGTCCAAGCTGAAGCTCAAAATCCCCAACTTGACGGATGTTAGCACCATTGACAAGTGGTCCCGGGTCATTTTTCCTATCACTTTTGGATTCTTCAACCTTATCTATTGGTTGTATTATGTGAATTGATATGCGTTCCCCTAGGAAACATGGGCCATATTTTGAGAGCACATTGAATTGGCTTTGATACAATTGGAAAATATGTGTACACATATAAAGTTGATACATATGTATATGCATATTTCTATATATTATATTTCTATATACACACGCGTGTGTAAAATCGAAAGGACTTTTCTGGTGTAAAAAAAAAAAAAACCTATTATATAGAATGACTTGAATGTTTAAGAATATTACAAGAGAAACATTTCAAGTGTTTGAATTTCTTTTCCTTCTGAAACAAACAAATAACAAGCATCAGTCCCTTGTTCGAGGGTACGGAACTAAAGACTGCATGATATTTTCGCTAAAAGAAAAGATCGCAAGAGAAAAAGGACACATCTGAACGACTCATCGGCTTTTTATCGATACTTTAATCAGCCTCTCGTAACCGCAGCTCATGAAATCAGAAGTGGCTTGAGCATTTCGGGGAGAGTCAACCGAGCAGGACCCCAGACCCGATCCACTGCTTTCCCCATCCTCACGGAATTGTCCGTTTCTACACTGTACAGCAACCTCTTTTGCAATTACGTGTCATTCCTTGATTTTGCAAGTGACAAGCATTCTCTTTATCGGACCTCAGCTCTGGTCAATGGTTTACACTGGACGGCCATCTTGAGTTTTAACCAGTGCATCCTGCCCAGTGTCCCAGTGCATTTCATTTTCTCTCTTCTCTTTTTTGCTAATTATCTTTTCTTTCATTTTTGGGCTCATGATTTTGGAGGGCGACACCTAAACACGTTCTAGAGGTAGTTCATTAATAGATTATAAGCCACTAGTATGCTTCATTCATCAAGAATTTAAGAAAATGAAAAAAAGAGAGAGTACATTCATTCATTCAGTAGCCTTATTGCCATGGTCAGGTAGTATTGGTGTTCTTTCTTTACTCTTGTCCCTAGTGCATTTCATCTGTTCTATTGATACAGTACTCATGAACATCTTGTAGAGCTTTGTGTTGTTTGGAATGGAGGGAAACCCTTAGTGAGCTGTGGCGTTTCTTTAGCACTTGGATTTGAACTTAGTCCATCAACTATGTGAAAAATGTAAAAAAAAAATTAAGGAAAGAAAAGATTAATGTGTATTCAACAGGGGATGTGACCATGTTTTTATCTGTTTCATGTTTAAGTCAACCACTCTGACATCATAGTGTGACCTGATATTGTATATATTCAGTCATTGTAGTGATCCATCCCAAGAATGATATACTCTGATGTTTTTAGTTTCTCTAAATGTGCCTGTCTGAAACCTGAAGGATGTGTCCTCAGTTCATCAATCAGTGAAAGAGGGCCAGATGACCCTTGATCTTTGACCTTTCACTTTAAGCACTGCAGACCCACCCACAGCTCTGACGTTTTGCATCTTGGGAATGAATCTCAAAGATGAATGACATCAGCATAATCAGGAAAAAAAATGCTTCTGAGTCTTTTCGGGGCAAAATGACATGTACGATAAAAGCCATGAACTGAAGTGACAACCAAAAAGGCCTATAATCCATTTCTCTTTTTTTACCATTTACCTCTGATTCACCCACCATCAGTTATTTTGGGCTTTGCCTCGTTATGATTTACCTCAGCTTCGTTGATCTTTCTCTATCTCCAGGTGACCACAAACTCAAATTCACATGTCAATTCATCCACCATCCATATTCATTCAAATCTTCTTTATGGTAGTCTCTAGATGTCTCAATGAGTTGAAGCATCCAAACAAATGCTTCTCAAAGCAATGTTGGATCAGTTCTCGAAGATGTGGATGAGAACTGAACTGCTGAAGGGGACATTTGAAAGCGAGGAGGGTCCGGTGGTGCCTTGGGAACACGAGAGCCCCTGACTTGCTTGAGTTTCTTGACGAGGATATTCTGAGCAGGCCTCAGACCTCAGGGCTTAACAAAGTCCCTTGGCTCTCGATCCCCACACCAGACCTCTTGACAGTCTTAAAGGTGTGAACCAACCATCAAATCACCAAAAGATCACTCATTCCATGGAGAAACTATAAAGGAATAGGAGACTGTACCTCAATGTACTGGCAAAGTCCTATGTTACCTAGAAGCATGTTTGAGGGATTTCCACTTCTTGTGTTATTATTTGTTATTTTGTGAGCACGACCATAACACCTGTGCAAGGGAGCTAGTACTCTCAGTGCAAAGCGAGACATGCACAGATGCATGCACAGTGTAGCAATTAAGTTGAGCGCAAATCTGCACTAAAAGAGGATGGAGGTCAGAGTGCTTTTCATGAGTAACTTTAGTTACTATGAGTGTTATGGGGGTGCCTTGGCCAATTACAACTCTCAGTTGGCATTCAAGATGCTGCAATGCTTTGCCAAATGAAGGTTCAAAGGCAGAGTATTTAGTTACTGATTTGGTATCGTTAGTATACTCCTTTAATCTATACTGTTTAGATATGAAGTTACAATGTAGACCAGACCATTTAAGCTACAATATAAACCCACCGTTACTAGTGCAGTGTTGTAGACGAGTTTAGCGATAAGTTGAAAACGCCAGCTCCGCCATTAGCCAACATTTCTCTTCTTGTATTCAAGGGAACCAGATCAGCTAGAAGGAAGATTTTTGCACTGCCTTTGACACATTGGAAAAGGTGGGATAGACAGTGCATTGTTTCATTTGAGCACCAACCACTATTAACTGGTAGAACTGTACAATTCAAATGATGTTGATATATTTTTGTATTAGATATTACTGCTCTAAGTTATCAATCAGTGTTAATAGGCGCTCTAATTTTCCCTCGGAGCGACTAATAATAGAGCAAAAAAAAGCAGTATATCATAATCATAACCTGTGATTAGGTATTTTATTCGTGAGAATTCTTCGAAATTCTTAGTAGTTAGTACAATGCACATAAGTTAGCGCCCATTTACTACATAGCTTCATACATTTTTAGTAGACTTGCTGGCACTATGCAGTATTTCTCACTAATGTTCAGTTTATTGTCAAACATGGGTAACCTGAATCACTATTGGTCCATGCGTCCTGACCAATCACGATAGGCAAGGGTTGAATATTTCAATCGAGAAGGGATTAGCAACATGCTAATGCAGCCATACTGTGCCACTGAGACATGCTGGATGTTGCATTTGTTAAAGTGGATATTGTGTTGATCATCAACATGTTCTTGTAGCACCAGCACTCTGTTTATTCACAGTGAGCTTACGGCTAGAACAGCTTTTTGGAAAGATTCTGGATTGTGGGCATTTGTCCCTGCAAGATTTGCCTTAACAAGATCACTAAGCATTTTCATGGAATATTTATGAGCAATACAATGCAACTACAACAAAGTTCATGAGAGAGTGATTCTCTTTCAACTCAATTCAAGCCTTAAACATGGTTACAGATCATTATAATTTGATCATTGGACATTTGGGGTAAGATTCAGTTCTAGAGCATTAAAGGATAATATAGTGACAAATTAGTTCCCTCAAATGTCTCACCCAGGTACTTTCTCAATGTTTCCACAGCTTAACCTCAGAACCACAAAGTGTAGAACCAAATACTTCCTGGTTTAAGATTGCATGGTCTTTTCATTTGTCAGACCTCAAAGTAATAAAATAAGATAAGGTAATTGTGGCTTAATTCCTCGTAATTGCATCTTTATTTCTCACTTTTAAATGTACGCCTAGATATAAATCTTTTTAGTCTGTTAAGTCAGGGGTAGGCAAGTTCGGTCCCAGAGAGCCGCTGTCCTGCAGTTTGGCTCCAACACTGAAAAAAAAAACTCTCCTGCCTTTAGCCTTAGTAATCCTGAAGACATTGATTGGCTTTTTCAGGTGTGTTTGATTAGGGTTGGAACTAAATTCTGCTGGACAGGATCGAACTTGCCTACCCCTGTGTTAAGTGCACATTTATATCTAACATCATTTATAATCTAGCATAATTGCAACTTTTATCTTCCAATTTCAACTTTATTTTCTGTAATTGTGTCATAGTTATGATATTACTAATTGTGGCCTGACTGGGCAATCTCCCAGTTGCGACTATATATTGCATAATATAGACTTTCTTCCATATTGCAAAGTGTATTTCTTGTGATTGCAACTCAATATCTCTCTCTCTCACACACACACACACACAAGTTATTTTAGCGTTTTATCCAAGAAATGTGGTTCTGTGTTTTGTGAGTGGAAACATGGCCAGTGTAGTAGTTCACATCAGAATGGCAAGTAGCAGAACAAAATGTTCCTATAAACTGGACACAGTCTAACTGCTAATTTATTTATAGTTAGCCTGCTTGACCAGTTTGCTAAGTCTGCAACCTACTGCTGTATACACTGACAGCTGTATCAGAAAAAAAAAATTATATATATATATATATATATATATATATATATATATATATATATATATATATAATGGCACAAGTTGCTGCTCTGAAAATACATTCTAGATATTAGGGTAACTCTCACGTTTCACTATCTGAGGTAGATGCAACAAATCATTCTAGCATTTTAGATTTTATTTGAAAGTTTACCGTTTCATCACAGTGCTAGGATAGATTAATTGTTGTTAAAAACCAATTTGCCAGTTTACAAGGGTCATTTGCGAAAATACTCAGATAAATGTAGCAGCAATCGGTTAGAAAGGGTGATGATACCATCATGGCAGTCCATGTTGAATTTGCTCTTTTTCTTCTTCTTTTTTTCTTATTAAAACAATTTAGGTTTTGTAAACTTAATTTTAAAATCACATGCAGACTGAATCTGCATGGGTAGTTATTTTTTTATTCCTTTTTTTTGTTGTGTATTTGTTTTGTAAGATATGAATTGGTCTGTCGAAGAATGTGTCGAATGAGTTTAAATTTGTGACAGAAACTGCTGCTAATTAACTCTTTTAGCGAGTCAAGAGCAAAAAAGGGTTCAGTTGGGACCATTTTAAGATGCGTGCATAATTTATAGCATTTGGCCATTATTTGCCACCTTAAAACTGTGTTTGAAAAGAAATGGGCCCTTCATGTCTATATTTGTAACACACTTTTTGAAGATTAGCGGCTCAAACATAGATACACTGTTATGGCACACAAAAACAACAAGACTCCATCTATTAAGATGGGTGTTATATAATGGGAATTTAGGACAACCAAGAGATTTTAGATCAGAACTGTGTAAAGGTAGCATGCTCTTGAGTATGGATGGGATTGTTTTTTGGAGAATGTGACTCAACTAATGATTTCTTCGGTGTAATTTGAAATGTGGTTAGGGGACAGGAGACGCATTTTCCTTTTGCCTTGCACTTTGCTTCAGTTTTAGATAAATATGTTGTCTTATTGTTTATTGTTCTTTTTTTAAAAGAGCTTTGCACAACTTAGTGGGTGGGGGGTGGGAGGGTGCTAATGTGTTCTGTTGACAATGGAGGACATAATTATCTACGCACTTCATACAAATCACCCCATATGCTCACTTCCACATTTCCATACCATTAACATAACCCAACAAATCATCGAATAGCTTTTACTCGAGTACATTGTTTTTGTCTTTTGCTACATCCACCCATGAAGCAGGAGAAAAGGAAGTACAAAAACTGTTGAACTGATTTTAATGTGAATTTTTCTTGCCTCTTGTGTATATGTGTAATTACATGTGAATTGTATTGTAAATATGATATCTTTCACTTATATTTCTTAATGCATGAACAAAACAGGGCAGTTGGTAATAACAGCTAGCCTCAATGCTACTGGCATGGACAGCTTTTGCAGCACCGGCATAACTTCTGCAAACAAAACCTATCTCTGAAGAAAAAAAAAAAAAAAGAACAAAGAAAAAGAAGAGGAGAAAAACTCACAAAAAGATACCGGTTTTGTTTTGCATGTCTTACGTTTTCAGAAAGGTTTATTTTCATAATTTCTTTTCTATTCTAAAATTGGCGATTCATATCACACTCACATACAAGGGAAGGATACTTTTTGCTTCTTCTTGTACACAGAGATCGAACCAAACACTGTAAATCTTAAATTAAATATAGAAAAAAAAAAAAGACAAATACTCTCTATATTAGAAAAGGAGAATTACGGAGAAAATGATTCATGGAATTCATCATAAAAAAATATGCGAAAAATATGCACATTTTCATCCTCTCTTGCTTTTTTTTATATATATATATATATCACATAGAGTTGAGAGTAGATAGACACACCTATTAAGCCATTAGTTCAAAGTAGACTAGACCTGCTTACATCTTGTTGAACAAAACAGCAAGTTAAAGTCTCATGCCATGAGAATGCACGACTGGCAAAGCAAATTCTCGGAGTTTGTTAAAATGTATGGGCCAGTAACTTTGCTGTGCTGATTTTTCTTTGCACCAGGATAGCGTTACCGATAAAGCGAATTATAACACAAACACAGCACACACAAGTTAAGGACTAACCTGAAGTGAAAATCCTCAAAAAATACAAATAAATACAAATTGGCAAATATCTAGGGCAACCTCTTCATACCTAATTTGAGAGTTCAGTCGCTATTTATACTGTTTTGTTTCATTTCTAGTTGCCTGTATTTGTTGTATTCTTTAAATGAATGGTTAACTCTTATTGTTGATGTTTTCTCATAGAAAGGAAATATATTTCTACTTTACATCCTGCCCTAAAAAGTAAAATGCATTCTGTTTTTGTGTTGTACTGGTTTCGTTCTCATTAAGCTCTTGGTTTGATTCTGTTGAACTATTGAGGTGTGATGATTTATGACGATCCATTTGGGGGTATGATTTGTCTTCATGAAATCAACATTTGTAAAGTAAAAAGGTTGTATTTTCTTCTTTACTTTTTTCCCCTTTTCTTTCTTTTACTTTTTGTCAGTGCCAATTAATGTAATGGTGTCGGTCAGCTTTTCTAGGTGTTTGAGCAAAATGTGTTTTTTACTAATACAAGATGTTACAGTATGTGGTACAAAAAAGGGTTATAAGTAACCAACTGACTTTTTACAAATAAAGGCTTATACAGTAAATAATGACAGCGCAGAAGTCTTTTTCAATTGCCATTTGTGGACTAACAGTTGCCTTTCTATTCTTTTGGCTGTGGGTTTAAGCTAATTAGCCCTATGTATTTTTTTAAGGGCTGCGGAAGAGAAATATATATATATATATATATACATAAACAATCATCTAAAGGATTATTAGGAACACCTGTTAAATTTTTCATTAATGCAATTATCTAATCAACCAATCACATGGTGGAAGTTGCTTCAATGCATTCAGGTGTGTGGTCCTGGTCAAGGCAACCTCCTGAACTCCAAACTGAATGTCAGAAAGGGAAAGAAAGGTGATTTAAGCAATTTTAAGTGTGGCATGGTTGTTGGTGCCAGATGGGCCAAGTATTTCACAGTCTGCTCAGTTACTGGGATTTTCACGCACAACCATTTCTAGGGTTTACAAAGAATGGTGCGAAAAGGGATAAACATCCAGTATGCTGCAGTCTTGTGGGCGAAAATGCCTTGTTGATGCTAGAGGTCAGAGGAGAATGGGCCGACTGATTCAAGCTGATAGAAGAGCAACTTTGACTGAAATAACCACTCATTAAAACCGAGGTATGCAGCAAAGCATTTGTGAAGCCACAACACGCACAACCTTGAGCCGGATGGGCTACAACAGCAGAGGACCCCACCGGGTACCACTCATCTCCACTACAAATAGGAAAAAGAGGCTACAACTTGCAAGAGCTCACCAAAATTAGACAGTTGAAGACTGGAAAATGTTGCCTGGTCTGATGAGTCTCGATTTCTGTTGAGACATTCAGATGGTAGAGTCAGAATTTTGCGTAAACAGAATGAGAACATGGATCCATCATGCCTTGTATCACTGTGCAGGCTGGTGGTGGTGGTGCAATGGTGTGGGGGATGTTTTCTTGGCACACTTTAGGCCCCTTAGTGCCAATTGGGCATCGTTTAAATGCCACAGCCTGGTTTCTGACCATGTCCATCCTTTTATGGCCACCATGTACCTCTAATGACTACTTCCAGCAGGATAATGTCACAAAGCTCGAAACATTTCAAATTGGCTTCTTGAACATGACAATGAGTTCATTGAACTAAAATGGCCCCCACAGTCACCAGATCTCAACCCAATAGAGCATCTTTGGGATGTGGTGGAACAGGAGCTTCGAGCCCTGGATGTGCATCCCACAAATCTCCATCAACTGCAAGATGCTATCCTATCAATATGGACCAACATTTCTAAAGAATGCTTTCAGCACCTTGTTGAATCAATGCCATGTAGAATTAAGGCAGTTCTGATGGCGAAAGGTGGTCATTCCTAATACTCCTTTAGTTGAGTATATATATATATATATATATCGTAAATACAATACTAAAGATACACCTCGCGCCAGAAACCATTGGTCTTGAATAAAGTACCATCACAACCACAGCTGGAAGAGTATAATCTTTGACCCCATATCAACATTAGTCTGGATTATCATATTTACCAAAATTCTGCAAGAGAATCAAAAGAAAAGAAATACATTAGGGCTCCCCTCTGCCTTAAAGAGCAGTCTAACTTGTATTGATGAGAAACCAAAACAGTTGCATCACTTTGTAGAAACTGGAAAACACAATGAAAGACAGCATAAATTCATGAAGCAGCCATCTGCAATGCAGTGAACAAAGACAGTCCTTTTATTTCACTCAGTGTGAATTTTAACAGTGTCAGTTTAACAATGACTTTTGGAGTTCCTCTACAATCCTGTACATTGTTAATTTATTAATAGTTTGAATATTAAGTTCTTAATTCATCATCACTGTAATTAACTAAATTGTTATTGTTTAATTAACTCATATGTAAAGAGTTAGAATTTTTTTATGCTTTTTTTTTAACTTTAGATTAGGTCATAAAATTTACATTACAGTTATTTACAGTTATGCCATTTCCTTGCTATTTTAAAGCAAAGGCTTTCAAATGAACAGACCCATGAACCAACTGGTTAATCACAGCCACCAGGTGTGCACACACAAATGTAGACAAGCCAATCAGGTTAAGGTTTTATAGTTTATTAAGCACTATAAAAAGGCAACCTGCATGTAAGTTCACCTATCTTCAACAAAAATGGACGGTGTCACAGGAAGAGGGGGAATCCAGAGAGAATGCAGGAGAGGGAGACCTGGGGGAGGGGTAGGATATTCACAAAGAAGATAACCAAATATGTGTAATGCAATTCGCGCTACAATGTGGGAGGCTGGGCTGAGAGTACAGCCTAACCTAAGCAGGTACACAGTGACATCAATTGTTCAGATACTTCGTCAAGAGCACGGGTGAGAAACTTATCTTCTGTCAACAGAAAATCCATGGCTTACAACATGTCCTATATCGACAGTTTTGGTATCTATTCCTGTGTCATTTTACAATAAGCTACATGTATATTGTTTGGCCAACATAGGATTGAATGTCAAGATATCATAAACCTCGTTTTGGCCAATAATGCAATCAGACTTAGAGAAATTAAATTGTCAATGATCACCCAAATTTCAATCATGTCCAACAGATCTCTCTGTCAACAATAGCCTGTATCTTTATAAAACATCAAGTTCTGATGAAACAACTGTATAAAGTGCCATTTGAAAGAAATTCCGACAGGGTGAAAGTCGAATTGTGGAGGTACATTTTGTTCACAATTGCATTATTGTGAACACTGAGAAAACAATAAGTAGAATAAGTAGAAGTTTTTGCACAAATATTTTTAAGTAAATCTACTTAACTAAGCCGAGTAAAATTAACAAAGTGAATAAGTACAAATAATTTGGCCTATTAAATTGACGTTCGCAAAAGCCACCCCCTAGTTATTGTTACTATGCCCGCCAAACAGTTGAGAACCAGACACATAGGCATGGCTTGGTTGAGCTCCATACCTATTGGTATGAGTGATTGGTTTTAGAGTAATGCAGCAGACATATCCTATCTAATGTTCTAACTTTGTTACATTCGATAATAATGCTATAGAACCACAACTGTTAACTTAAGTCCAGTTTTACAAATTAGCTCTTAGCACTTAGCTACTTATACTACTAATTGATATGCTAAGTTAGCTCGCTAGTTTTGCTAACCTTAGGGCAGACATATGTTTGCTTATTTATCTTCGAGGCATTTAGCTGTGGGTGAGGTCTCCCACACTGCTTAATCCATTGTCGGCATCTTTCCAATTGGGTCTTGGGCTTTGGAAAGGTGAAAATTTGGGGTACCTGGTGTCAGACTTGCAGGTGCCATAGGCGCATAATTTCACCATCTTGCTGAAATAACAATGTTTGACGGGGGTCCTTATCCTTAGTTACAGATGGCGAGCTATTATTGGACCGTTCAAGGGTGGGGTTTTGCAAACGGTCAATTATATTTAGTAATTTTTACTTACCAATCTGATGTAATTAATATAATTAAGCATTTGCTATTTTAAATACATTTTACTTGTTTTATGCAGTGCTGCTAATTATCTTAAATGAAATTAAATGTTACTCTTATAATGTGACAAAATAATACTATGACAATGTGCAGTTAAAAGTAATTTATTAAGAATAACAAGAAACCTATCTATACAGAAACCTATAATGCTTGAGATCATTTTAGATGTTTATCGTTGCTCATTAGAAATCTAAAATTAGCAGTTCTATGCATCGTAGAACAGGTTTTTCTCAAGGGTACAGTTCTGCAGTCACAAAATGAGTGAGTCAACAAAGCCGATAAATTCCTATGAACATCCACAGTACAAAAACATGTAAATTAAGTCAAGTTAATTCTACATTTCACTATCAAAACATGACATTAACAAACTGCTGTTAGAAATAAAACATGCAAACCCTTAAAAAGTCCTTGTCCAAATTTCTGGTGTACTTCAGCTTTGAGGGATATTGAAGATTTAAGGCATACACAAGTCTCATCAGGCTTTCGCAGTATTTCCACATTTAGCTTGGACCTTGCTTCCTTCCAGCACAATGGACGACACTGCCTCTCCGTATCCGTTTCCATGGACAAGAATCATCAGGACGTCTTCCGTGAAGTTTTCTTGATTGCCATCTTTATGCAATCCAAGAGGATGAGGGAGAAAAAGCTAATTTAAAAGGTAATGTTGTATAAACATTAAAGAAAAAAAGTTCAGGACAATTTTACATCTTTCCACATGACAGGTTGGAGAAGCCTACCAGGCTTTGCGGTATTGTGTCACTTATATGAGAATGGCTTGACTTTCGGTAATTGGGAAATTAGTCATTTTTACTTAAAGAAGCATCACATATTTCATCCAAAACTATAAATTCAGTACCTATTCACCCTCTCTGGTATTGTTTAAACATCCAATATCCAGTGTGTGTTGTGTGGAGTCAGCATCTACCCCTCACTTATAACACACACTTGAGGAGAATGGTTTCAAAGGGTTAGTTGACCCAAAAATACAAAAATTCTGTCATCATTTACACAACCTCATGTCATTCCAAACCCATAAGACCTTTGCAGATCTTCAAAACATTTTTAACTAAAAATATGTACTCCCAGATAGCAAACTGACATTGAATCAAACCAATTTTCGATTTTTATTTAGCTTTGAAGAATGCCGCGTCTGACGTTGGTTCAACATTAATTCGATGAGCAAAATCAACGTTGTTTCAATGTCATGAGAGATGTCGTTTCCACGTTGATTCAATGTCAGTTTGCTGTCTGGGCTGTATTTTCATTTTTGGGTGTACTATCTCTTTAAATATGAATCTTTAATTTCTAGCACTTTGAATATCTTATGTGGCAGATTGGATATAAATGAATAGCATAACATGTCTGAGACTTACATTGCCGTCTTTCTCCTCCACCTCACCAAGATATTCAACTGCGGATCTTGTCTTCTCAATGGTGTGGCCCTGGAAAGAGATTTATTTTTAATAATTAGCACTAAAGAACTCATTTGACAACCTTTTTTAAATGTTTAAGATTTAGAAAAGTTAATATTTTAAAAATGGTTTGAAGGTTTTCAGTAAGTAAAACA